AATATAGGTTTATCAAATCCTGTAGCAGTTATCACCCTTTGATGGGAGTTTCCTTTCTAATCTTCCAGTGACAAGGAACCTGATAATTTTATTCTTTTACTTTTGATGATTTCATTCCAAGGGAGGTAATAATACCACTAGGATGCAATGGGTTACTTTGAGTAAAAGAGAAGGTGAAGATTGTACTGAGGCGAGGTGAGGAGAAAAGGCAATAATAGAACAGTGGTCAGAAAGACAGAAAGATGGCGATTTGCGTCGCATTTAAAATTTAAAGATTGTAGTTGTCAGAGAAAAAAGAATTATGTTGATAATGTTAGCCGGTTCGTTATAAAGAACATTTTGACGTTCATTGAGCGAGCAGCCAATGCTGCTCTCGGTTGAAATTTATAAAATATTTCTCTTTGAACAATTTTTTCGCGAAAACAGGTTTCTCATGTCCAATAGCTGTCAAGGGCTCTTCCATTATTGACAAAGAGGGCTTCCTTGCTAACCTTTTATTTGAAGTAGTTTAGAACATCAACATATTAATTATTATTTTAATTGACATTATTTTCTCTTTGAGTTACACAAGCTATAAAAAAAGTTTAAATTTTAGTTGATGCTGCTGTTGAAAGTCCTCAAGTAATGTGGTTTCTGCTTTCTGGTAGAGTTCTTTGTGACTCTTTATCGCCTGTCCACGAGATTGAAAGAAGGATTTTCTTCGCCAAAACCCACAGCCTTCATTTGTTTAAAGTTATTTTCAGCCATTGATCTTAGAAAATGGTTGCATAGAGCTGACAGTTTAGATATTTCTGAATGGGTTTGTCACCATGCATGACATCCATATGAATGTCTCGATCTATGTGGATAGATAGATAGATAGATAGATAGATAGATAGATAGATAGATAGATATGCATGTCATGAAAGGGACAGGTAATTAAGTAGATATATATTGAAAGAGAGGAGAGGAAATGGTAATATTAGCTGTTTTCTTATAAGGAAACATTTGTCATTCATTGACTGTACTACAGTCGGTTGAAATTTACAAAATATTTATCTTAAAACAATTTTTCAGGAAAACAGGTTTCTAAAATCCAGTAGCTGTTATCGCTCTTTCCAGTATTTATGGGGTTTTCATTCTTAACCTTTTATTTGAATTAGTGTGGAATGTTAACACAGAATGTTGAATTGGCATAGCTTCATTTGCCACGATGCTACATATATAGTGCGCCCAGTGAGAATTGAACTCAATATTAATAGGTATTTAATTATAAATTCATTTTGCTAACCTTTACACTACAGCGAGGAGAGATACATTAGTAGAGACTGGTATAGATAGTAATGATAATGTTGAGAATAGACGTTTCCATACAGAAACTATTCGGTATTCATTAATCGAACAGCAATATTGCAGGTTGAAATTTATAAAAACCTTCCGGATAAAAGAGTTTTTAATGAAAAATTGGCTTCCAGGTCCAGTAACTGTTATCGCTATTTCTAATACTGATCGGAATTTCCTTTCTAACCTTTTCATTAAGGCAGTGTGGAATGTCAATGATATGTCCCGGAAAGGGATTTATTTGAACGAAGTATCTAAGTGGGTTTGGCTATTATAACCAAGTAGAATACGGTAGCAGTAATCAACAGGTACTCGTCGTAGTCGCAGGTAATAGGTGTAGACCAATAGAATAGCCAATGGCGTAGTTCAATGGGCGTCGTCATAGACTTAAACTCTGTCGTGCCTACACGTCCGACGGTATTTATGACGGACACCAGCCAATCATATTCCAGTGAGGGGAAACTCAGGTGTATGCATATTCCATAATATCAGTCAACCACTTAATTATGTCATTATTTTCTCTTCTGTTCATATGTGTTACACGTTTTTGCTGTAGCTACTATTGGATGTCTTCAAGTGATTTGGGTTTTTATTTGATAAAGTGTCTTGCGATTCTGTAACACCGGTCTTTAAGATCTAATGAAGGTTTATCTTTTAAAAAAAAACTGTAGGAATTTTTCGCTTGAAGTCATTTTTAACCCTTTGAGCCATGCCTTCCTGAACAATTTCAAACTTTCTGCCTGAACTCCTGAGTCAAAATTCGCAAATAATTGGTATGTCATGTTTGACGGTAGATATAAAAAGAGTTACAACTGTTTACCCACCGTTCAACCGGTGGCTGGGCATTAAGCCATTTTTCTCTGCCAATGTTCAACCGGTGGCTGGGTATTAAGTCACTTTTCTCTACCACCGGTAAAGCGGTGGTCAAGTCTCAAATGCAAGAAAATTATTCTATGTAGCTGATAATTTAGACATTTCTTAACAAATCTGATATGACGTCCATATTAAAGTTTAAATCTGGTGAGACTTTTTAAGAACATGAAAGGCTAATGATTTGGATTGGTAACCTCCGGTAGGGTTGATGAAAACTGTCCCTTGTGCACTCATTTCTATTTACACTTTCCTTTATCTTATACTAAATAACTGATCCAAACCCCAAATTATTTTGAGCTTTTAGAGTTTATTAATTCCACATTACGTATTTTTTTATGGTGAATTCAGAGTATATACCATCAGGAATTTCATTCCAATTCCAGATCATTGTTTCTTTTTGGGAAGTTTATATATATCGGGGAAAATTAGATGCAGACGTAAAAGATACATTAACAGATCATCAGATATGAACAACGACGGGGCCTTTAATTTGCTATGTGTGTGGAATCACTTCTTCTAGTTAGACTAAAAGCAGTGGTGACAATGTTTTGCACGTGTAAATAACGAATGGAAGGAAATGGAAGACAATTTAAACAAGCCGATATTTTATAATTTTTGATTTTATGTAACTGATTAGAAAGAGAACATACGCTAGCATGGAGGCATAAGAAGGAAAGCATTACAAGTAACGAAATATATGGCTGATGCACGTATGTGTGTGTGAAAGTTCGGTCACTAAGGTTACGGTTGGCGTTGTCGCTTTAGCATAAAAAGAAGAAACAAACAAAATGGAAGGAAGATAAAAACAGGAAGTATCCCGTTTTTTGTAGCTGCTTGATAGCGCCCTCTAACGACTTCTTGCTGAAACTGGCTTAAGTTATGTGGGAATAACGCACGAATGTATTAAATATCAATCGTGGAGAATATCGATTAATTCTTTTATTAAATCATGCAGCTAAAAGGTTAAACTATTTATTTTATGTGATTTAAATTTATTAATTACATCAGTAACTCGATGAACAATTTTAATTTCCGCTTTTCCATTTTAACTGTCACTTCGTTGACAGAGGTAAGTAAATGGTTGCTTTCTACGCAGATAAGTTCTTATAATTATTGCAAGAAGTATACACCTTTTTAAAATGCAGTAACTTATCCATTCTATACAAATTAGGCGCGAATTAGAAATCCTACCAGGATTCATTTTTGGCGGCCAAAGCTATAACAACAAAAGATAGTCAGATGACAGGCAGTGTTGATTTCAGACACGGAACGAAAACCACGACAACTTCTACAGAAGTTGGTGAAGGAAAGCGAGAAGAAAGGACTAATGATCATTTGCAAGAGAAAAAAACTGCATGGCTGTTAGCAAAAACAGTAACGCAACATGCAATTTAAAAATTGAAGATGCTAAAATCAAGCAAATATAACAATTTAAATATCTGGGAAATATTTTAACTGAGAACGGAATGTGCGACACCGAAATCCGAAGGTGCATTTTGATAACGAAAGATGCCTTCCAAAAGCTAAGTTCAAAGTATTAAGAAACAGAGAGTACTGGACTGTTACGTAATATCAGTCCTCCAATATGGCAGTGAATGTTGGACAATCTACTCACAGATAAAGGGGAGACCTGACGTAACAAAATGTGGTTCTACAGAAAGATGCTGAGAATATGGAAAACATTTTTAGAAAAAATGGAAACGAAAAGGACTTAACATCAAGAAGAGACGATTGAAATTTCCAGGTACATAAGGAGGAAAGTGGGCTTGGAAAGTTTGACACTTACAGGGTAGGAGGAAAACCATGCATAACCTACCAAAAGAGCTTGAGTGAATGGATGGCTAAACAAGGTTTAGGAGAGATAACAAAAAGACAAAATTTATTAAGAGCTACAAAGAACAGGAAATTGTGGAGAGCCATGATCGTCAAAGTCCTGAAGAAGAATTAAAAAAACTAAATATGGATATGCGTGCCGAGAAGCTGTGGCTGCAGAAAGTGAAATCAGCGATCCGAGTTCAAATTCTAGCCTCGTCTGCCGAGTTCACTATTTCAGTAATACTCCTGGGAAAAGCTTGAATCCATCGCTTCTCCCCGAACTATAGGTTAAATAACAGGGTATACTGACCCATATAGCTTTTGATGGCAATTATTCTAACAAAAAAAATGCCTGAAATACAGAACCGTGGATAAGAACGGTATGACATATCATTATCTTTCACGAAATGTCTTTTGAAATATACAGGTAACGAAAAAGAAGGAATCTGTGGACAGAGAGGAACGCTTATGTTCTGAAAAGATATAGTATGGTTTATGGCTGTCCTTTTTTCCGAATATGCTTGTTTGTTACGATTAGCTAATCTCTTTTGCAACAACCCAAAGAGCCAACCTGCGGAGTATACTGCAACTATGCTGAGCGGACTTTAGTTAGTTTCTGGACGAAAACGCAGAGCCTGGAATCATGATCATTTTGGGCAAAGCATTTAAGATGAGATAAAATCTTCATTTATCATTACATTATACGCAGTTTATCTTTTAATTCGTACGAGTCGTAAGAATGAAATCGTTATTGTTCTTTTCATAAAGTTCCATGCTAATATTTGATATTACTTGATTCCTTTGGATTCGATAATGATGAAGTTAAGTAAATGAAAAATTGTAATAACATCAGCTTTATTTAATACTCATAGGAATCATGATATTCTGCCCAAATGTCACGTCTTATGCCATATCTATAGGTCGCCGTATACGTGGAAATATACGGTAGATAGACATGAATAAACTCATGTAGAGAGTGAAATAGACGGAAATCAATAGACTGAGGAAGATAGATAGATAGATAGATAGATAGATAGATAGATAGATAGATAGATAGATAGATAGATAGATAGAAACTCATGTAGAGTTTGAAATAGATGTAAATGAACAGACTGTGATAGATAGATAGATAGATAGATAGATAGATAGATAGATAGATAGATAGATAGATAGATAGAAACTCATGTAGAGTTTGAAATAGATGTAAATGAACAGACTGTGATAGATAGATAGAGAGAGAGAGAGAGATACCAAGACCATTGGTCGGAATGTTATTTGTTAGCACAAACTTCGACAGTTTCCAAACAGTTTGATCCAACAATTTTACATACAGGGCTTGGGTCAAACCGAGGTATGGTTTCCAGGCACTTTTCCTCTTTGACTCACGCTGGGAGCCTCCTCATGCCGACATTGCCAAGACGTCACCTCTTCGACAAATATGCACCCGGGTCTTATAGTCAGCGCGCTAACCACTCGACCACGCGTCCAGACTGAGAGACTCCGTATTAAAAGGAAAAGCCAAAATACATATATAAAACCTGAATATATATTTTCAAAAAAATATTTAAAGATTTTAAAATTATTTAAATATTATTTAAAGATTTTAGATAAAGATTTTAAAAAATTTTAAAGAGGAATATATATTTTCAAAAAAATTGTTTGAAGATTTTTAATATTTGTGTAAACATGCTAGAATTAAAAATATGATCCAGAAAAATAAATATTGTCGTTTCATGAACATAAAAACAAAGTATGACTCTTTTTTTTTTCTTTTCATCTGCCTTACCTCTTCATGGATTCGCATCGGATGAATTTGTGTGATGAGACTGTATTTTTCGTGGTTTGGTAGTCTCTTCTTTTTCAGATGACGGAAACTGGAGAGAAGGGACATAATCGACAAATGGTCAATATTGGGACTGGCCATTTCTTTTGCGGACAGGGGACAAAAGACATTGAGCTCTTTTACTGCGTCAACAGCTGAAAAAAACGTCAGCAAAAATTAGCAAAAATACGTTAGATTGATAGGCATACAGACTGATAGATAGATAGATAGATAGATAGATAGATAGATAGATAGATAGATACTCATAGAGAGACTGAAACAGATGTAAATGAGCAGACTGTGATAGATAGATAGATAGATAGATAGATAGATAGATAGATAGATACTCATAGAGAAACTGAAACAGATGTAAATGAGCAGACTGTGATAGATAGATAGATAGATAGATAGATAGATAGATAGATAGATATGAACAAATTGATGAGGATAGATAGATAGATAGATAGATAGATAGATAGATAGATAGATAGATAGATATGACCAAATTGATGAGGATAGATATGAAGTGAGTGAAATACATGGATATGAACAGATTTTGATAGATAGATAGATAGATATGAACTGACTGAGATAAGTAGATATGAATAAACTGAGATATATATGTACGATCGGAAATAGCTATGAACAGATGATAGATATATACTGCATATTTCTACGTATCAGGCGACCTTTAAATCTTTAAATATGCCTTTCAAAATAGGGGGTCGTCTCATATAACAGTTACAAAAAGCCAACCTTAAATCTTTTTGGTGTATCGGCACAGAAAATTCGGTTAGTATCCTTGCGCCATAGATCGCAGTAAGCTAGCCACATCCTCGGAATATAAACTACCGATGTAAATATATTTCTAGTTGAAAAAATTCACAGTTTAATGTACTGTAGTTATAAATGTAATCGGAATACTTTTACATCTTGATTTGATATTAAAATGCAATCTTCAAGAAACGATTACACAATTTGCAAAAGTTCTGCTGACGACACACACCAGTAACAAGTAACGTAAACAAATCTTTCGTTCTTGATTTCTAAAAATATGAATCGGTTCACATCGACAATTATTTCTCATACTAATGTTAATCAACAACAATTAGGATGACATCGAAATTTCTAATTAAAATTCATTATCACTGCAGTTATAAATAGCATTTACTGTAGCATGTAAAATTTATTTTTCAATAACCTGCATTAACCTTTTTTTTAATGTTAACTAACAAATCATTTAAGATGAAATAAAATCTTCACTTATCATTACATTATACGCAGTTTATCTTTTAATTCGTACGAGTCGTAAGAATGAAATCGTTATTGTTCTTTTCATAAAGTTCCATGCTAATATTTGATATTACTTGATTCCTTTGGATTCGATAATGATGAAGTTAAGTAAATGAAAAATTGTAATAACATCAGCTTTATTTAATACTCATAGGAATCATGATGTTCTGCGCAAATGTCACGTCTTATGTCATATCTATAGGTCGCCGTATACGTGGAAATATACGGTAGATAGACATGAATAAACTCATGTAGAGCGTGAAATAGACGGAAATCAATAGACTGAGGAAGATAGATAGATAGATAGATAGATAGATAGCAACAAACTCATGTAGAGACTGAAATAAATGGAGTTGAACAGATAGATATGAACAAATTTATGTACATAGATATGAGGAGACTGAAATACATGAATGTGAACTGATTGTGATAGCTATAAGCAAACACATGGAGAGACTGAAATAGATGCAAATGAACTGACTGTGATAGATAGATAGATAGATAGATAGATAGATAGATAGATAGATAGATAGATAGGAGCAAACAGATAAAGATAGATATGAAAAGTCTGAAATACATGGATATGAACAGATTGTGTTAGATAGATAGATAGATTAAAAGAACAAAATGAAATAGATAGATAGATAGATAGATAGATTAAAAAGAACAAAATGAAATAGATAGATAGATAGATAGATAGATTAAAAGAACAAAATGAAATAGATAGATAGATAGATAGATAGATTAAAAGAACAAAATGAAATAGATAGATAGATAGATAGATAGATTAAAAGAACAAAATGAAATAGATAGATAGATAGATAGATAGATTAAAAGAACAAAATGAAATAGATAGATAGATAGATAGATAGATTAAAAGAACAAAATGAAATAGATAGATAGATAGATAGATAGATTAAAAGAACAAAATGAAATAGATAGATAGATAGATAGATAGATAGATAGATAGATAGATAGATATGTTATGGAAAGGTTTGTAGATTGTTTTACAAAAATCTTTAGTTACTATACCGCATATTTTCCACGGTGTCTTTAAAGGAATTTCATATTAACAGAAGCATTATTATTATTAAATCACTAAAAATAGCGCTGGACTCACTTTCCTTTGAAGAAAACTGTGAGAGTAAGTAATGTCTTTCATGATGAATGTACTCGATCCATTGGAGGGTAAGTCTTGTAAATTTACAGAGTGAGAGTAGCAGAAAGAGACAGCGAGTTAAAGAAAATAGAAAGAAATACAATGTATAATAATAATAATAATAATGACCTTTTTGGCAGTTCTCTTCTCGATTGATCGCATTAAGATTAGACCATTCTGGGATCGAGGCGCCCATCATATACGCAAGCGTACATATCCGAATTCCATCATTCCAGTCTGTCTGTAAGATTGTCAAAAGTAGAGCCAAGAATGAATCCCAAATGAAAGAGTTGTGCAAGTAAATCAAGTAAAATTCTTGGCCAACTTACAAATTACACCGTTAAAAAGCGGTGACCAGCCGTCAGAAAGCCATTTAGATATTTCTGTCACATGTCTGTTTATTTTCTCTAATATGTGTGAATTGCCATGGCCTCTTGGGAACGATAGCGGAATTCTTTCTAAATAACATACCCAAATGAGTCACGTTCATTTGCAACATTACTATCACATTTTATTCGAAAGAAATTAGTTTGTTTCGTGACAGTTGCGTAAGTGCTGTACGGAGTTTAACCCTTTGAACACCGCATTCCTGAACAATTTTAATCCTTCTGCCTGAACACCTGAGTCAAAATTCGCAAATAATTGGTATGTAATGTTTCATGGAGATATAAATATAAGTTATAAGTGTTTACCCACCGTTCAACCGGTGGCTGGGCATTAAGTCATTTTTCTCTACCACTGGTAAAGCGGTGGTCAAGGCTGAAAAGTTTAATGCATATCACCCCCCTGGTAGCATTTTAAACTAGGTACGGCCACAGAAACACAATACCAAAGGTTTGAAATTATTTTTTTTTAAATAAAATAATCTTTCTTGAAGGATTTATTTTAGTTTTAATTTCAAGTTAATAGATTAAATTTAATATTTCCAATAAGCAAAATAATTGTTTTATTTCAAAAACTAATTTAAATTGACTGAAATTATTTTATTTTATTTTATTTATTTTTTGCTAAAATAGCTGCTTGGCGCTATTTTTTACTCGTCTTTCATTTTTCATTTTTTTTTTTTTTTACATCCGTTTACTCCTACTTATTGTTTTCATTTTTTTTTTTAATTTTAACTAAAATAATTTATCAAGTTTTAAATCTTTTAAAATTCTGTATTAATATGCACCGATTAGGTGATGTTGTTATTAAGTAAAAACTGTATTTACTATTCATAAATGGCAAAGCTTACTACAATTCATCGACCCACAATATTTTAAAAAGAATATTAATTTTTTTTTTGTCTGCATAAATGTGCCGATTTTTGTAAGTAGAGACAAAGTAGGTACCTCTACAGAAAAGCGATGCCATGAAGCTTTTATTTTAGTTTTAATTTCAAGTTAAGAGATTAAATTAAATATTTCCAATAAGCAAAATAATGTTCTGTATTCAAAAACGAATTTAAATTGACTGGAAGGAGTTTTTGTTTTGAAGTTGCTAAGCATCGCTCTGTTTAACGACATTTAACATCTTTGATCACCATGTAACTTACTTTATTAAAAAATCTTCCAAGAATAAAATATACTTTTCTGAAACTGTATTTGTGGAATATTAACTGATTTACAGTCAAATTAATCGGATTTGAAACAAATATTACTGACTTTATCTTTAAAATATCACAGAAATGCATTTTTTAAACACGGCGGTAGCTGTTTAAGGGGTTGACAGCTTGACTGACAGACGGAAGTATATCTATTTTTTTTTTACGGTGGACATATCTGTAAAATTTACTCCAGAAATATAATATAAGCGCCTTTTTATATAATTGCTGACTAACCAGTAATCTTAAAAATTTAGCAAAATGTTCTGCGTAATCTGATGTTTATTGAATTTTAAAGGTACTTTGGCTTTAAATTTATTATAGTTATGGCTAATATTTTCTGATGTCTTGTATAGACGTCTGTATTGATAAAAATCTGCAAATTTTTACACCGCCGATCCAATTTTTTAATTCTTTTAGAAATATTTTGGTCGATGAATTAAACTAAGCTTTTCCATTTATGATTAGAAAATATATATTTTTTACTTAATAACCGTATCACCTAATCTCTGCAAAGTAAGACATCATTTTAAGATGCAAAAATTTTTAAATTATTATAAATAATTTTTTAAAAATGAAAACAATTCTTGTAAATACTCATTATTCTTCGAAGTTTTTTTTCTTGAGACAATAGTGTCTATAATATATCTTATTCCTGAAAACAATTAAAAGCTTTTCTAATTAAATAATGTCTTAATTTTATCGCATTTTTTATTTTACGATTCTTGGTAACTGTGGATTCGGTTTTACAAAAAGAAGTTGATCTAAATTCTACAAGGACTTCTGCTTTTCATTAATATAAATATTAAGCTCTGCAAAATTAAATTTCTCGAAATTCCATGAATTAAATAAGTTGGTGAGGGGGTAACAGATTTTAAAAAAAAATAATATTTTAACCGAGATATTTTTTTAAATAAATAATTCTGAAATAAATTCCTTCCTTTTTGAATGAGTCCTGAAACTTTCATTAAAATCCGATAATGATTTGATTTTTACAAGAATTCCCTAATCACTGTTTTTTTTTTTTTTTTGGTTTTCACAGTAAAAAGGACGCCAAAAATCCTTATGCTAATCTTTGGCCCAAACAAAATTTTGAGCGTTCTAAAATGATCATAAATATAATTTAATAATAAAAAAAAATTCTTTTGTCTTTTCTGTTAATAATAACATAAGATTTTGACGATAAAAGTTTGATTTTACAACGTTTGGGGCATTTTTTCATCATGGCATGCTAATTCTTTAGCGAATCAATGGATGTACCTATTTTAAATTGATACAATTTTTATTCGTATGTCTAAACTATAATTATGTACTATAATTCTGGAAAATGAAAATTTCACTGAAATATGTTGGAAGGGAATTCTTGTAAAAATCAAATCATTATCGGATTTTAATGAAAGTTTCAGGACTCATTCAAAAAGGAAGGAATTTATTTCAGAATTATTTATTTAAAAAAATATCTCGGTTAAAATATTATTTTTTTTTTAAATCTGTTACCCCCTCACCCACTTATTTAATTTCCAAGTTTTCATCTGAAATTAAGAAAATAGAAACTCTGGAATAAATGTCTACAATATAGAGGAAAAAAAGAAGGGATCTCTTTAAACCAACGCTAGTGGTATATGGGTTATGCCTTCTTTTTTCCATTTATCGAAACTATAATTAAGAAATATAATTTTTAAAAGTTACAATTTCAATAAAATATATTAGAAAATTTCATCTGAATTAAAAAAAATACACGGACTTTATCAAAATGGCCACAACATATTGAAAAAGTTGTCGATTGTTTAAACTGCCGCCAAGAGAATATTATGATTTGTTTTACGGAAAGGAAATTCTAACTATACTCGATGTAAGAATTCAGTAAACTATTTGGCATGACTTTATACCAAGTTTTTCTTTAAGGATCTGAGGGTTTCAAGTGGAAAAATAAGACTAGCTATTGAGGGCTTGGAGCATGGCTGCTTAGCTTGAGAAATAGGGTTTGTTGAGTGGAGAATTTCAGACAACTCTATTTAGATGGCAAGAACAGAAAAAAAATTTGACATATAACAAATAAAAAAATTATTTATCTGCATACATTTTTTTAAGATTTTTTTAACAGAGAAAATGTATCAAGTTTTGTTAATCAATGTTACTTTTGTGTCTAAGCAAGAAAATATAGTTTAGCACTGACTCGACGTTTTAGCTTAAAATAACCGAAATCAGATACTTTCAAAGTAAGTTGAATTGGAAGTAATAATAAGAACCTCATAAAAGTCGAACAGAAAAAGGTTTTTCTTACTGTTGTGTCGGAAACCTACCACCCCTCTTGAAGATGAACTTGTCTGCGTCTGTGAACAAAGATTTTAAATAGTGGCATGTCAGTTGACATGGTAAAAGACAGATAGAAAGAGAGGGTAAGACCTCCGAGTCGTGATACAGTCTTTGACTGTAAGCGACGTTTGGCCGAGCCTACGGGCTCGGAGATACCCACATTAAACCGGCCTTGTGCCATATTCAATCCTCGTGGGTGGATCGATAAATACTAAGACAGATAGAGAGAGAGGGTAAGACCTCCGGGTCTAGATGAGTCGTGATACAGTCTTTGACTGTAAGCGACGTCTGTCGAACTCTCTGCGTTAGCAGAGAGGAACCTGGGCGAAGCTTTGCCGAAGGGCAAGGTTTCGTCCGGAGAGGTAGACAGGGCCTGAACCCGTCTAGGCGGGTTCAAAGGCTATATTTTTGGTCGAGCCTACGGGCTCGGAGATACCCACATTAAACCGGCCTTGTGCCATATTCAATCCTCGTGGGTGAATCGATAAATACTAAGACAGATAGACAGAGAAATTCTTAGCTGAGCTAGTTATTGACTACTCAGGCGATTTCTGTACCTTTTTACCAACCTATTAAAACCCTTTTTATTGTTACGTGTTATTTGGCGTTTGTCTCTACTAACCCCAAATCAACATCATAACACTTACTGATCATTTAAAGCATTTTCTTTTGAGGTCAATTTCTCATTGGCATGGTGGAAAAATAGGACAGAAATTAGAATCGAACGAAACGGCGTGCTGATTAGAAGCTCTAGGTAAATATGTTTTCAGCTATGTTATTACGTGTCTTTCTTATAAGATCGACTTCCATAAATGTGACCCAGATAGGTGTGTTTCTTTCTTAATTTTTTCAGCTTTTCATTGGCTGAAAAACAATTTTAGTTATATGTTATATTGTTGAGCCGATTTGAAGTATCGTTTTTGTTTTGTTTTTTTCCAGCTGAGAAAAATTTATCCGACTGTCTTTTATGTTGGCTTTTAATTCCTAGTCTGCGAGAACAGTAAGCAACCGGTTTCATTGACATTTAGATGTTTTGAAAAGGTGTCGCCTGGAGAAGGATTGATTTAAATTGGAAATGTTTGGTAAAAAAAGGAAATAATTTAAATCCTAGCGACCCATCCACGTAAAAAGTGTTATACATTGATCGTTTCAAATGTTAGCATTGAAAGTAATAAAAAAAAACAAAAAAAAAAACAATATTCTTCTCTAGAAAGTTCAGTCAGTTATGTGCCGTGCGTGATACACCCTTAAGCGATCATGTATCTTTCGATACATAACTAACGAGGTAGATTTTTTTCCCCGCAGTAGGTTGCCGTTTCTTTCTGCGGTAGATCAGTTACCAT